TTTAGGATTTAGGGTTTTTAGGGTTTAGGGTAGGGTTGGATGTTTGATGATTCTTTAACTATTAGAGTGTAAGGTAACATGGCACCCTGTTTGATGATGATTCTTTATCGGGTTTAGGGTAACATGGGGTAAGCCCTACACCCCTTCTTTAAATTGCTTGGTATAGGGTAACAGCAGGGGTAAGTAAGCCCCGGCCCCTCGCGCTAACCTCCCCCCCCCCTCTCCATTCTGCAAGCCAGCCTCCTCTTCTCTTGAAGCCCGTTCGAAGAAGCTTTCAGGTGGGCAGTTTCCTAAAGCCCCGAAAACCGCTAAAACTCGAAAAGCCCCCAACAGCGCTACAAGCCCTAAAACCCTACAAGCCACTGAAACCCCAAAGTCTTGAAAACTCCTAAAAACCCTAAAAGCCCTAAAACCCCTGACAAGACGCTAAAACTCCAAAAACCCAAAACAGCCCTTAAACCCAAAAGCCCTAAAACCTTTACAACCCGAAGAAACTTAAATACCCTGAAAGATATCCCACGAAACCATTTTAAACCCTAACAAAAACCTATTTGAGACCCCTAAACGCCCCAACAGCTCGCAAACCCGGGAAACCCTCAAAACCCCTGACTGCCCTAACAGCCTATGCCCCCCTCCCCTCCTTAATGTACTACCGCAATCGGACTAATGTCTAATCGTATACCCTTATGGTCCCTATATACCAATACAAAAATAGTCCCGATTCTAATCATGAAGGCCCCTACATTCCTATGGGTCCAGTAAAATCCTTTAAGGGCAGCGAAAACTAAGCTTTGTGGTGCTTTACTGTAACTTTAGATCCTTAGCCTTTTGGGGTTTATTGGGTTTCTTAATATGGCAGCTAAACATTTAGTTTATAGCTACCCTTCTGAGTGCAGCCAAGTAAGGGTGACCACCCAAGGGGTCCCAGGTCGGAACGTCCCTTAGAGGCCCTAATTGTTCTAGGTTTAGGGTTTAGGGTTCAGGGTTTCGGGGTTTATTGGGTTTAGGGTTTAGGATTTATAGGGCTTAGGGGGTAGGGTCTATGGCTTAGGGTCTAGGGTTCAGGGTTTAGGGTTTGGGTTTAGGGTTTAGGGTTTAGTGTTTAGGGTTTAGGGCTTAGGGTTCAGGGTTTAGGGTTCCCGCATTATCAGGCTTCTGCAAGTCCCAGCCCGTTCTGGCAACTCCCCACCTGGAAATCTCCTTTGACCCGTGGGCGTTGTGCACGCCGTGCAGGGCCGGTCTGGCCCGGGCAGGTATCAACGAACAGGGAGCTCAGGATACGGAACACGAGCCCTAAACCCTAAACCCTAGACCCTAAACCCTAAACCCTAAACTCTAAAACTAAACCCTTGGGTAACCCTCAAAGCCCTGACGCCTAGACCCTAAACCCCAAGCCCACAGGATTCCCCTTTTTGGAGACTCTTATCCCATGGCCCATGCCTTAAAGGGCCTAGAGTAGAAGCCCTCATCTGTGTCGAAAGTCCTCGACACCAGACAATCCATGTACCTCAAGCCGGAACACCCAGGAAGCCTAAAGCCTATAGAGGTTTAGGGTCTAGGCCTTTGGGTTTAGGGTTTAGGGTTTAGGGTTTAGGGTTTAGGGTTTAGGGTTTAGGGTTTCGGATCCAACCCCTTTAAACCCCCGAAAACCCTAAGCACGCCCTCAACCTGCCAGTGATAGATGCGGGGCAGTGGGTGGGGAGGAGGAGGAGGAGAAGAAGGCTCAGAAACGACCCAGCCCTAAACCCTACACCCTAAACCCTAAACCCTACACCCTAAACCCTAAACCCTACACCCCAAACCCTAAACCCTAAACCCTAAACCCTAAACCCTAAACCCTAAACCCTAAACCCTAAACCCTAAACCCTAAACCCTAAACCCTAAACCCTAAACCCTAAACCCTAAACAGGGTTTAGGGTTTAGGGTTTAGGGTTTGGGGTTTGGGGTTTGGGGTTTAGGGTTTGGCAATGTGGGGCCCTCTGAAACAAGTACAAGTACATTGAAGTAGGGTTTGGGTTTAGGGTTTAGGGTTTACGGTTTAGGGTTTAGGGCTTAGGGCTTAGGGCTGAGGGCTGAGGGCTTAGGGCCGTTTAAAACAAGTACATGGGAAGTCTTGCCTGGTTTCTACGATACCTTGCCAAGCAACCCTCTCGACGTCGACGGGCGCAAGCAGTTTGAATGTAAATGTCTTCAGGTCGCTAGGGGGTATAAGGAGGAATCCCTGAGAAGGGATCCTTAGACTTATTCACCTATATAACTCTTATGCATATATACACACCTTATCTTGTCCCTTACACAGTCCCTATATAGCTTAAAGAACCCCCAAGGTCCCATATCAGGGTCCCTCCTTTAGTCCCTTGAGGTCGCATGTCTTTTGCTCTGTTCATCGAAAACAGAGAGGGCACTTCTAGGCAATTCTGCCGTTCGGGCCATGGAGGTTGAGATGTCTGTCCGTTGGCTGACGAGGGGCTTGCCTTTGGGGGTTGGACTTGAAGATTCTGTGGTTTAAGTAGGGCTTAGGGTTTAGGGTTCAGGGTTCAGGGTTCAGGGTTCAGGGTTTAGGGTTTAGGGTTTAGACGATTTAGGGTTTAGGGTTTAAGACGATTTAGGGTTTCGGGTTTCGGGTTTGTACGATTTAGGGTTTCGGGGTGGGCTTGGTTTAGAGCTGGAGCTTAGTAGGCCGCGCTTGGTGACTTTGCTTCATGGTTTGCTTGTAGGGTTCTTAAGAGAACCGTAGGGAAGCTTAGGGAAGCTTAGGGAACCTCGGGGAGTGAGTGGAGGGGCACCTTGGGTTACATACCCCCCCCCTTGAACACCCTAAACCCTAAACCCTAAACCCTAAACCCTAAACCCTAAACCCTAAACCCTAAACCCTAAACCCTAAACCCTAAACCCTAAACCCTAAACCCTAAACCCTAAACCCTAAACCCTAAACCCTAAACCCTAAACCCTAACCTAAACCCTAAACCCTAAACCCTAAACCCTAAACCCTAAACCCTAAACCCTAAACCCTAAACCCTAAACCCTAAACCCTATAAACCCTAAACCCTAACCCCTAAACCCTAAAGAACCCTCTCAGTTGCTGAAGGGAGGTGGGGTGCTCAAAGCCTGGGCTAGGTTAAGTGCTCTGGGGCCTAGGTCTCTTCAATGTACCCCAAGCTACTCTCACCCTGATTTCCCTAAACCCTAAACCCTGAACCCTAAACCCTAAACCCTAAACCAGGGAATTTTGGGGGTAGGCTCAGATTCGGGGAACCACTCAAACTTGGGAAATGCCCGAATACTCCGTGGCTTTCGAGCTTAGGTCGCTGCCATTTTGGCTCAGATCCGTGTACCGAACACTCCACCGACGTCACGGTCCGCAAACGAACGTTGCCCCGGCTGGTTAGAGCGGGAAGCTCCGGCATTGTAGGCTGCAAACACCGTTGAGCTGGGCTAAGAGCGTTTAGGGTTTAGGGTTCAGGGTTTGGGGTTTAGGGTTTAGGGTTTAGGGTTTAGGGTAGGAAGCACATCCAGCCCCCCCGAAACGCAAAGCCGCCATGTCGCTGCCGCTGCATCTGCCGCTGAAAGAGGGGCGGCGCACCCAGGTTATCCCAAATTACAAGGCTTAGGAGACCAACTACGGTTTCGCATACGCCCACCTAGGCGACGGGTTTGACTGATTTAAGGTTTAGGGTTATAGGGTTATAGGGTTTAAGGCATAGGGTTTTGGGGTTTAGAGAAAAGAGTTTGTTTGTTGATGCCAAATTTGCCCTGCCCCGGACCCAGTTTACGTGGGGTTATGTCTCCCTTTGTGCAAGGATTCACGAAGGTGTTTCTGAGGATCTTCCCCCTCCCTTCCCCTCCCCCGGCCCCCACCCTCCGGGATCGCTCTAATCGGTCAATGTCGATGCTTAGCTTTCCGAACATGCCACAAGCTCGCATGCGAGCTTCAGCGCCTTGCTTGCGGACACTCCCAGACCCTATAGACTCTGAACCTTAAACGCTAAACGCTAAACCCTAAACCCGAAACCCTAAACCCTAAACCCTAAACCCCACGACCGAAAGGACAACGCGATGCCAGGCAGCTCTCGCGCCCTGGACTCTTACAGGGCTTGGGGCTTCGGGCTGAGGGAGGCTTTTAGGGAGTTTAGGGTTTAGGGTTTAGGGTTTAAGTCCTCCCTGAAGCACTCAGTCTTCCCTAAACAAAAGAAGGGATCCGATGTTGAAGGAATGTCCCTGAAGTTAGGGCTAGGTTGAGTTCTGGGTTGTGATGCTTAGTTGCTTTCTTGATGGGTGTTGGTTTTCTCTCGTTACGCCCCCCTTCACCTCAACTTCTGGGATAGCCGCTGACATTGCTTCCTCAGCACCGTGCATGCCACTGCTTTCCCTGTTATCTGGGCAGGGAGGGATGTACAGCCATAAGCCCTGAGCCCTAAACCCTAAACCCTAAACCCTAAACCCTAAACCCTAAACCCTAAACCCTAAACCCTAAACCCTAAACCCTAAACCCTAAACCCTAAACCCCATACCAAATACCTTCTCTGCCCCGCGAGAGCATCCAGGCACCTTCGGGATCAGAGGCAGTTTTCAAGGTCCGAGCCTTCGTGCTTGAATGTAAAGGGCAGCAAAAGTAGGTAGGGTTTAGGGTTTAGGGTTTAGGGTTTAGGGTTTAGGGTTTAAGGTTTAGGGCTTAGGGTTTAGGGTTTAGGGTTTAGGGTTCAGTCATACACTTGTCAGAGCCGCAGCGGAATGGGAGGGATGCACTGCTTGGCCTTGCTATGGCTCTATGGCTTGGCAACCTCTGGCACCGCGAATCGGGAGCTCCTGTCAGCTGTCCGCAGCGGGGATGCAGAGGCAATCCCAACCTATAGACCCTACCTCCCCAACACACAGAGCACCCGGAGTAATACCTGGAGTAATTATAAGGTGTAAGGCTTTACTTAGACTTTATTCGAATCGCACTCTCATTCCCAGAGGCCGTTCAGAGGCTTCTCGGCGGCAGCTTCGACGCCACTGAGATGCAAGTCTTCAATGAGACATATGACATTGAGACCACCTTGCTCCACGCAGCTTTGTCCTCGTCGGGGAACATCTTTCATTTTTAAGGGTACTTAAAACCCCATAAGGAATATATATTTAAATTTTTAAGGGTACTTAAACCCCATAAGGAATATAAATTTGATTTTTTTGTATATTTTCCCAAGAATGAACAAGGTAGCCGCCGCCTGGTCCACCCGGGAGGTCCTGCAGGTGCTGTTGGCCGCTTGGCCGGCGGGCGTGCAAGCAAGAGATAGCTGGCTCAGAGCACCCCTGCACGACGCCTGCGCCTCTGGAAAGGTGGAGAACTATCAGCTCCTCGTGGAACTTTGGCCGGATGCGCTGGAGATTGCTGACGGTTTATGGGGCCAGCTGCCCCTGCATCTTGCGGCTCGATCGAGCCATCTGGACGTGGTGCGGCTCCTGGCAGAGCGGTGGCCCGACGGGGTCTGGGTTCCTGACAAACACGGCCGGCTGCCCCTGCATCTTGCGGCTGACGATGGCCATGCGGACACGGTGCGGTTGCTGGTGGAGTGGTGGCCCGACGGGGTCGAGGCGACTGACTTCCGCGGATGGCTGCCCCTGCATTTTGCGGCTAGACATCTGGATGCGGCGCGGCTCCTGGCGGAGCAGTGGCCCGACGGGGTCAGAGTGCCTGACAACGACGGCTGGATTCCCCTGCATGTTGCGGCTCGAGATGGCAATCTGGACAGTCTGGACGTCGTGCGATTCCTGGTGGGGCAGTGGCCCGACGGGCTCAACGTGCCTGACAAGCATGACGGTCAGAACCCCCTGCATCATGCGGTTGAATTGGGCCGTCTGGAGATGGTGCGGCTCCTGGTGGAGCTGTGGCCCGACGGGGTCAAGGTTTCTGACGGATTCGGTCAGATACCCTTGCATCTTGCGTCTAAAGGGTATGGAAATCTGGACACGGCGCGATTCCTGGCGGAGCAGTGGCCCGACGGGGTCAGCGTGCCTGACAACGATGGTCAGACGCCCCTGCATATCGCAGCTGAGTCTGGTCATTGGGACACTGCCGTTTGGCTCTTTCAGAGGCACCCGCCGCTGCAGCCACTTTCCTTGACTCCCATGTTGGACTGTCGGCTCGTGATTGAGGGGGCCTGCAACAGCAGTGAGGGCAGTCATTCCTGGCGGGGCGCTGCGACAGATCTGCATTGCTCAAATCCAGAACGCCTTTTGAAGCCGGCATTGCTGCGATGGCTGGAGGTCTGCGGCGGGCGCCCCCACTGGTCAGACCGTTTTGGTACGCTTGTGGACCGGCTGGAGGACCCCGAGGCGAAGGACGGATGCACGAATTAGGCTTGAACGTGCTCCCACATAGCTCCTGTACGCCCCTGAAGCTTTAGACGACGTCCGAAGCCGAAATCAAGTGCTCCAAGGTTCGTTGCCCACTGCATCGGTTTCAGGTAGCCGCGGATGAAGCCTTGGTAAGCAAAAGCTCCTGTGGCCCTGAAGGACTTCTTGGAATCCCGTGGGACGCTAGAGGAATTCGTCGGGGGGCTCCTGTCAGATTGGGCCAACTGGGTGAGTATGATCTCCGCCGCAAGCGCAGCCTGCGTCTTCGTGCCGCTGGAGTGGCTGGCAAGCAAGTGGATGCAGGGGCGAGGTAAGGGGCCAGCAGAAGACGAGGTGGTTGCAGATCCATTCTTACCGGGTGCCATAGACTTGGTGGCCAAAGCTTTTGCAAGGCGTGCATGGCTGCTCAGGCTCTGGCGCTGGCTCGAAGTCGCGGTTGCCGTCTTTTGGCTCGGCTTCTCGCTCTTGCTCATGAACTGGGTGTGGTGGGTGCCCCTGGTGGCACTGACCTACATTGTCCCGGCAGTCCCATTCCACGGAGTCTGGCACCTGCTCCGAGAGCCCGTGCTGGCCATCATGACTCGGGGCACTGCTGCACAGGCAAAACGAATTCTGGGGCGCGATGCCTGGTAGAAGTAGTAGTCGTCGTAGTCGTATGGCTGTAGCAGACAGTAGCAGTCGTAGGTTCACCACGAGTGACGGGTAGGGTTGAGAACCGTAGCCTCAGTACAGGTGGCTGGTCTCCTTCGCACAGTTGTTCTGTCAGCAATATTTATGGTGGCATTTGGTGCTGACCAATTCCGTGTGTTGGAAGACAGTCCTGTGCTGCAGACTTGGGTATTTGACCACATGCTGAACCCCCTCTACTCCAAGTGGTATACACTGACTCTAGATGGGTGGCGTGAGAGTCGACTCCATGATCACTGGTTGTTTCAATGGGCTCCGGACATAACCGGTTTCGACCTGTTCGCACTTGTGAGAGACCTGCTCCTGGGCTTGGTCCTCCTGTACATGGTGAGTTTGCTTTGCATGGCCGTACTCAGATGCATGCTCCACTGGATTGATGGGTGTGGCGACCGTCCTCAGTCCATGCCAGACAGCGACACCATGAATAGGTTGAGACAGCAGGTGGTCCAGGGTTTGCTCAAAACACCCAGGGACAAGTTTCCCGATGCAACTGATGTGCACGGGAAGATCGAACCCGTCATGGCTCTTACTTGGCCCTGGCGCGGCGGGGGGCTGTTGCAACGTGTGGCTTTGCTGCTGCTGGATGTCGGCCTTGACATCAACACTGTTTTCACTTTCCTGGCCGCGCAGCAGTACGTGCTTGCTGCCATGACAGTCTTCCTTATGGTCCGCAGCTGCCTCAAGCAACTGTTGATCCTCGCCCCTTGGCGTCTTCGCGAGGCCTGCTAGGGCGCGCTGCTGATTCGGCATCCAGTGCTAGAAAGTTGTTTTAGCAGCAGTTTATAGTCCCCTTTGTCTTGTAGAAAAGGTGGATAACAGCCTGAACCCTTAAAGTCCATTTTGATCTTCTTCTGAAAAGACTCTTGTTTTCGAGGTCGACCAGGGACTCAACATTTGATATCAAGGGAAAGTGACTACTTCGACAGTCATTCGATTATGTTTACTTTCCAGCATTTGCAATAGAACTCAATCCTGTTTTGGTCTATCTGGAAGCCTTGGCCTGCATGACCGTCGTGGAACGCAATGAGGAACTGACCATTTGCTAGGCAGCGCCCTAAACCTTATAAACCCTATACCCTGTCAACCCTAAACCCTATAAAACCCTAAAAACCCTAAAAACCCTAAAACCCCTAAAAACCCTAAAAACCCTAAAAACCCTAAAACCCTATAGAGAAAAACCATTCAATACAAGCGTGAAATTTTCTGTCCTTTAAACAAGCCTTGCCTCGCAACTTCACCCGCGCTTCAAGCCGATTGCCACCGACGCCTGGTGTGGTTTAGGGTTTAGGGTTTAGGGTTTAGGGTTTAGGGTTTAGGGTTTAGGGTATCTCCAAGTCAAGAGTGTTTCTAGAGCTTCCCTACTCAGAGCCAAGCTTCAAGCCTCATGCCTGGGTAGGCGATCCTCGCGAGCCACCAGCGGGGCATCGTGCGGAAGGACCTCAGGGACTTCTTAGAGGCGGCTCACCGTGATTTAGGGTTTAGGGTTTAGGGTTTAGGGTTTAGGGTTTAGGGTTTAGGGTTTAGGGTTTAGGCTAGGGTTTGCTTTTTGTGCGTGTAATTAGGAAATTCTGGCAAACCGGTGAATGGGAGAGTTCATGTATGCAGCTTGTGCTAGAACTTTGTTGATCGCTCCAGCCTAGGACCGGACTTCCTCAAATCACCAAAAATAGTTTGCTAGGATGCCCAGTAGTACCCTTATTCCCTTTTGGGGGGGGGGTTTAGGTTCCCTTATAAACCCCTTTAAGCAAAAAAGGGCACCCTTTTTAAGCCTAGGTTACTGGGCAGCCTAGTTTGTATTCGCAGCAGCTAAGGAGGAGAAACGCTCAGAGGCTTTCTACTGTGGCTGCATCACGGGCTACTCCATCTGCTTTTCCGCGAAGACTGCTGATCAAGTGCTCGTGCAGGTTTGCAGTCTCTTGCTGAGCACATGGCTTTTCTCAGGCTGCCCATCTCGGAGCAAATGCTGGCGAAACAGGAAAATGTTGGTTTGCGGGGTGTGTTTCGGTCAGTTGGTGCGTGGTAGTTGCAGGCTATGCTGTGCGAGTGTGCGACCTGGACTTCGAAATGGATGAGGAAAGGGTAATGGATGAGGACAGGGTTTAGGGTTTAGGGTTCAGGGTTTAGGGTTTAGGGTTTAGGGTTTAGGGTTTTAGGGTTTTAGGGTTTTAGGGTTTTAGGGTTTAGGGTTTAGGGTTTATGAGGACTTCTCAGAAGACTGCGCAGCCCAATCCATTCCCCCTTGTAGGATCGCGAGTAGCAGGGGATGCGCAAACCTTAAAAGCCAAGCCCACGAAGACACCCTAAACCCTAAACCCTAAACCCTAAGCCCTAAGCCCTAAACCCTAAACCCTAAACCCTCAATGACACGACCCAAGCCGGACGCGGTAAGCATGTGAGCAGCATTCCCCGCTCTTTTTAGGTGCACACTTCGCCACGTTTACAACTGATTTTTTTGAGTAGTTGCCTTCGCCTTAAATTTACACCTCCAGTGCCCAGCACACGTAGTTCGCATGGGCTTGCGACGCCAGAACACTACCAAACTTCTCTCAGTTTCTTTTGGACGCCAGGAATTCTAGCTTACAAACATGTGCGAGGGCCTTGGCCGGTGTGGCTGTGTATTGTATATCTTCAAGTACTACGGAAGTGAATGGTTCGGAGGCCAGCTCGCAGTTGGCCATTAGGCTGACTGGTGGACAGCAACGAGTGAATAAGATCTGGTCGACTTCTAGGACACTTTCAGGCGGCTGGATGTGTCTACGGAACATGCAGCTTCAATATGCGCAAATAAGTCGGCAGCCTTGCCTCAGACGTGTGTTATTGCTCTTCATTGCGAAGCTAGTCCCCATATCTTGAGGCTGCGACATATTATCGCTCTCTTTTTGACAACACATCCTCCAGACCAGTCGCCAACGTTATACAATATCTTATGCATTATCTTTTTTCCATTAATTATCGCATACTTACCCTACCGTGCTTATTGCCTTAGACTATCTGAGATGACCTTAGATTATCTTGGACTGTTAAAAAGATCTTGGAGTGCCTTAGATTGTTGTCGAGTTTTTCAGATTCTCTTAAAGTGGAGGATAAAAAATTAAAAGGAGTTATGGAAGTTTTGCCGAATGAGGAGGCACCCCCAACTCTGGGTCAAGACGCTCCTTCAGAAGATGCCCCAGCGGAGGCGTGGAATGCTCTGTAGGGTTTAGGGTTTAGGGTTTAGGGTTTAGGGTTTAGGGTTTAGGGTTTAGGGTTTAGGGTTTAGGGTTTAGGGTGAGCTCAAGGACGTGAAATCGGTAAGGGTCCCCGGGGGGATTGGTCCAGCTAAAGAATTTTCATCGACAGGTCCTGAACACGGCTTTTGTGTTAAGGGTTTGGGGTTTGGGGTTTAGGGTTTAGGGGTTTAGGGGTTTAGGGGTTTAGGGGTTTAGGGTTTAGGGGAACTGTTGGGAGCATGGAGCAGTAATCAAGTTGCCAAGATGAAAATGAGGCACGCGCAAAGTGGAGAAATGGCAGGGCCGACTTGGCATGATATCAGGAGTCGTGCGCAACCCTTCGAAGAGAGAGCTTCGAGAGTAAGCCGTCCCTGGACCTTTCCGCCTAAACCCTAAACCCTAAACCCTAAACCCTAAACCCTAAACCCTAAACCCTAAAGCCTAAACCCTAAACCCTAAACCCTAAACCCTAGATGCATTTCTGTCACAGGCAAGATCTCCAATTGTGTTCCTGAGTTATCCCAACCCCAGCGCTCAGCACAGCAGGGCAGGACGGCGCTGCCCCTGCCTTCAGCCGACTTGAAGTAGGGTTTATTTTTCTGTTTTTGGTGAGTGTATATAAGGTTCCTTTTTTAATATTGGTGAGTGTATATATTTGGTGTCCTTTTGGGGATACAAGAAATAAAAACCCTACTTCACATGAGTTCCTCCCAGGGCACCGTAGAATATCACCTGAGCTGTGAGCAGACATTTGTGTCCGATCTCTAGAGAAGTCGAGCTGCCGGCATCGAGAATTTCATCTGAGTTGCGATGCCGTTCTCGAACCAACAGCTCTCAAACTCCACACCCCAAACTGGCCCAAACTGGCAGTAGTATACAAATCATTGAGCATAGTAGTGGTGAGAGCCAAAGAAATTGTCTTGAATTGAAGATGTCACCTGCCCTGTTTTGTGAGCCCTTATGGCGGCATTTTGGATTGAACAATTCCTAGTAGTAGGTAGCCTTTAACCTTTTTGGGGTAATATAATCCCCTTATAATCCCAAAGGTTAACCTTTAATTCCCCCAGGTTACTGGACAACTAAGATTTTGCGACAGGCTGCGGACTCTCCTGCACAACAGATGCCTCAGAACGCAGAGCTTGATGAGACGGCTGCCATCTCCGCAGTTGCCAGTGACGTGAGGGTGGCGGCCGACAGTATCTCAGTTTGAACCCTAAACCCTAAACCCTGAACCTGAAAACCTGAGGCAGGCACTTCGGCCCGAAAGGGCAAAAAGTCCAAGCGAAGAGTCAAGAGTCAACGGGGCAGAAGCTTCCAGAAACCCGGATTTTCCAAGCGCTGTGATTTAGGGTTTAGGGTTTAGGGTTTAGGGTTTAGGGTTTAGGGTTTAGGGTTTAGGGTTTAGGGCTGTGAGCCAGTACAGAGAACTGCCGGCAAGTCTCGCGTTGAAGCCATGCAGAAGGCTTGAAAGGCCTGAGCGGCTGACTCAGATCTCGCCAATAAGCTGAATGCAGTGATCTGGGTTTAGGGTTTGGGGTTTTGGGTTTAGGATTTAGGGTTTAGGGTGGCACTGGCAGGCACAGACTGGAGCAAGTGTTTGGCCGCTACACGGCTTCACCTTTTCCTCAGATCCCCAAAGCCCTCACTTCTTGATAGCTTCAAAGAGTGTCAGGAGGCCAACGCATCTCATGACACAAAGGATGGGCCTGGGATTCTGGGACGGGTGGAACTTCCCTTCGTATGATGCTCTTACGAAGGGCTTATATGAAGCAGGGTTTATATTGCTGTTTTTGGTGAGTGTATATAAGGTTCCTTTTCAATATTGGTGAGTGTATATACTGGGTGTCCTTTTGGGGGTACAAGAAATATATACCCTACTTCATATCATGTAGGAGTAAACTGTTACTCCTTCTTTGGCGTACAGTTTTTTTTGCAGTCGCGATGGCTGCTCGAGGATGTGCTGAGCACAGCGGATGCCAGGCCTCATGGCCTGTCCTCTTCTCGCTAGGCAGAGTAAATTCGCCGCGTGGAAAGTGGGGGTTTAGCGTTTAGGGTTTTGTGTCGATGATCTTAAGATCTGCGACAGCAGCTGATACGGAAGCCAACACACACTATATGTATATATACATATATATATATATATGTATACATATCATATATATATATATATACACCATTATATACCCGATTCAGGAATACTCTCTGGGCCCTCGCGCGGCTTCGAAATGCTGCGGGCACCCAGCCCACAGGGCTTGCCAGCAAGGTGGACACTGCGTTCACGGCGGGCGTTTTGAGGTTTAGGTAGGGTGTAGGGCTTAGGGTTTACAAGTGTTTAGGGTTAGGGTTTATATTATAAACCCTAAACCCTAAACCCTAAACCCTATTATAAGGTTAGGGTTTAGGGTTAGGGTTGAGTTTGGGGTGTTGGGGTCTACCTGAAGACTTTGGTGCAGGAGCTTGTCATCTTTTCCTATTAGGGATCCAAGTACGCTGCACTTAAAGCGACTACATCGGAGAGCCTTCTTCGCATGGTCTATCCGTGCTTTTGCCCCAATGGCCTTAAACATGCCTACCAGCACCCCTTTTCCCCAATCTTCACTCTGAGAGCCTCAAGTGCCTTGAGGGCGTAGGGTTTAGGGAATTGGGTTTTTTGCGCCTAGTCGAAACAGTAGAAGTACTACTGCCTAAACCCTAAACTCTAAATTTGGGTCACACTTGGATGAACCTAACGTAAACCCTGTCAGGCCCTAGAGCCTTAGAGACCGCGTGAAGGCTTCATTAATTAGTGCATTTCGACCCTCCCAGCTCCAGAGCCCTAAATCACGAAAGCTTCCTAGCACTTTAACCCCTCAACTCGGCCCTAAACCCCAAACCCTAGAAAGCCCAGGGTCCACGGCCCTTTTCGCGAAGTCACCATGTAGGCAGCAGCTGCCTTGGCGAGCTACGGCAGCAACAAGGCCTCGGCAGTTTCCGGTACTTACCGTGGTAGGGCAAAGGTTTATACGGCTTGGGGTATTAAAGGGTTTAGGGTTTTTGAGGATTTAGGTTTTGATGGTTTAGGGTCTGGGGTTTGGGGCACAAGGTTTAAGGGTTTTCCAGTTTTTACGTAGCATGGGAGGGCTGGGTGGAGTGCTTAACGTATAGGTTCAGGGTATCAGTATTTGGGGTATAGGGTTTCGGGTTTAGGAGTAAAGGTTGATTAAAGGGTTTATGGTTGTAGGGTTAAAGGTCCCTTGTAGACCCTAGACTTGCAAGCCTACAGCCCTATAGCATGTTAAACCCTCAGGAAGCCCCACTTTTTGGGCCTAGGCTAGGCTTTCCAGTCGCTATAAGGAGCCCGAGGCCCGAAACCCTACACCACAGAGTAAGTGGGCCGGCTTGGCGGGTTTCAGACCCTGGCCTAAACCCTAAACCCTAAACCCTAAACCCTAAACCCTAAACCCTAAACCCTAAACCCTAAACCCTAAACCCTAAACCCTAAACCCCAAAGCCCAAACCCCAAACCCAAAACCCTAGACCCTAGACCCTAAACCCTAAACCTTCCGCCTGCAGCCGTCAGTCCTGGCACCTAATTGCCCTCAAACCGATGAAACCTTAGAGCCCTCTCGAGCCCTCTGGAGGTTTCGAGGTTACGAGGCTTAGGGTTTAGGGTTTAGGGTTTAGGGTTTAGGGTTTAGGGTTTAGGGTTTAGGGCTTACCTTGAACCCCCATGAACCCCATGCCGCCTACACCCTTACAGGCCCCAGAGCGGCAGCTGAAGCCGCAGGACATCAGCAACGGCCCGTGCACGCGGCTGCACGTTGTACAGCTAGTGGCCCCCGAGTTCTAAGGCTCTAAGGAAGGGATGGGGGAGTGGGTGGGATCTAGATCCTCGTCGTTCTCCGATACCTTTGCCAGAGACTGAGGATTTAGCGTGGTCGTGTTAAGTGGTGGGCCAGGCGTTTTGCATTCGGGTCCTATGTTAATAGGTTTAGGATCAAAACCCTTTAAACCCCCGAAAACCCTAAGCTCCAGAAACCCTGAACCTGCAAGTGAGGGTGGGGAGGAGGAAGAGGAGAAGAAGGCTCAGAAACGACCCTAACCCTAAACCCTAAACCCTAAACCCTAAACCCTAAACCCTAAACCCTAAACCCTAAACCCTAAACCCTAAACCCTAAACCCTAAACCCTAAACCCTAAACCCTAAACCCTAAACCCTAAACCCTAAACCCTAAACCTCCCAAAAACCTGCGACATCGGACTGCGGGGCTTCTCTTCCTAGCGCACCAAACCTCTGTGAACACTGCGAAGCCTGTTGGGGGGTGTAGAGGTTGAGGTTTTTGCGTTTGGGGTTTGGGGCCCTCTGAAACAAGTGCAAGGAGTACAAGATTTAGGGTTTAGGGTTTAGGTTTTAGGGTTTAGGGTTTTGGGCTTAGGGCTGAGGGCTGAGGGATTAGGGCCGTTTGAAGCAAGTACATGGAAGTCTTGCCTGGTTTCCACGATACCTTGCCAAGCAACCCTCTCGACATCGACGGGCGGAAGCAGCTTGAATGGAAATGTCTTCAGGTCGCATGTTTCTTGCTCTGTTCATCGAAAACAGGTGCACTTCTAGCTTGGTAGCCCAGTGGTACCCTTTGCCCTTTTTTTTGGGGGTTCTGGGTTCCCTTATAAAGTAACCAACCCCCCCCCAAAAAAAAAAAAAAAACGGGTCCCGTTTTATTCTAATATGGCTCAGTAGTAGAGTAGGTAACCTTTAACCTTTTTGGGTTAATTTTTTTCCCCCTTCAAACCCCAAAGGTTAACCTTTAAAAGCCCTAGGTACTGGACAACTAAGATGGTAAACCCTAAACCCTAAACCCTAATTAAACCCTAAACCCTAAACTCTAAACCCTAAACCCTAAACGTTACTGGGCTACTAGGCTAGGCAATTCTGCCTTTCGGGCCATGACGGTTGATTTGTCTGCCCTTTGGCTGATGAGGGGCTTGCCTTGGGGCTTAAGGTTCAAGATTCTGCGGTTTAAGTGGGGTTTAGGTTTTAGGGTTTAGGGTTTAGGGTTTAGGGTTTAGACGATTTAGGGTTTTGGGGTGGCCTTGCCTAAGAGAGCTCAAGCCTCCTGCTGTAGGCCGCGCTTGGTGACTTTGCTTCATGGTTTGCTCTTATTTTAGGGCTTAGGGTGTTTTAACGTTAAGAAAACCCTATCCAGGGTTTTGGGTTTTTTTTTAAACGTTAAGCAAACCCCTAACTGCAGGGGGTTCTTAAGGGAAGCTTAGGGAGCCTTGGGGCGTGAGTGAAACGGAACCTTGGGTTACATACCCCTTAGGGTTTAGGGTTTAGGGTTTAGGGTTTAGGGTTTAGGGTTTAGGGTTTAGGGTTTAGGGTTTAGGGTTTAGGGTTTAGGGTTTAGGGGAATCCCCTCCTTTAAAAACAGTATATATATATATGTAAGTTGCTGAAGGGAGGTGGGGTGCTCAAAGCCTAGGCTACAGGTTAAGCGCTCTGGCAGGTTTGTTCAATGGTACCCCAAGCTACTCTCACCCTGATTTCCCTAAACCCTGAACCCTAAACCCTAAACCATGGGGGTAGTCTTAGATTCGGGGAACCACTTTAACTTGCGAATAAACCCGTGGCTTTCGAGCTTAGGTCGGTGCCATTTTGGCCATTTTGGTTCAGATCCGTGTACCGAACGCTCCCCGCGGACGTGACGGTCCGCAAACGAACGTTGCCCCGGCTGGTTAGAGCGGGAAGCTCCGGCATTGTAGGCTGCAAATACTGCTGCGCTGGGATAAGAGCATTTAGGGCTCCAGTTTAGGGTTTATAGGGCTTGGGGTTTAGGTTTTCGGATTTAGGGTTTAGGGTTTAGGGTAGGAAGCACCTCCAGCCCTCCCGAAACAACAAAGCCGCCATGTCGCTGCCGCTGCATCTGCCGCTGAAAGAGGGGCGGCGCACCCAGGTTATCCCAAATTACAAGGCTTAGGAGACCAACTACGGTTTCGCATGCGCCCACCTAGGCGACTCCAGGTTTAGGGTTTAGGGTTTAGGGTTTAGGGTTTAGGGTTTAGGGTTTAGGGTTTAGGGTTTAGGGTTTAGGGTTTAGAGTTTAGAGTTTAGAGTTTGTTGGTTAGTGTCTAGTTTATTTCCCCTGCCCCGGACCGTTAATGCCTAATTGCCCCTGCCCCGGACCCAGTTTACGAATGGTTCTGTCTCCCTTTGTGCAAGGATTCACGAAGGTGT